ACTGTTGGCGGTGCTAAGGGCGCCATGGGCGGGGGACGACGGCGACGACGCTGCGTTCGCGTCAGTGGCGGCGGCTTCCTCGGCCGTGGCGACTTGGCCGAGGTCGTCGGCGAGGAGCGAGGTGACAGCGTCGAGCCCCGTGGCGACGAAGCGAGGCCAATGGGAGCCGGTCTCGTCTAGGCCTTCCCTGTATTAAAATGTATGTGTCTAGGTTCATTGTAACACGGTGCAATCCTCAGGTTGTTGAGTAGGCGCCAGTGGTTGTGCATGTGAGCATGCATAGATAGAGATCTCGGTATAGTTTGTTGTAATTCTACCGTGATGTACAAGGCCACTGTGGGGCTTTTCCTGCCTATATAACACGTAACCAAGAGCCCGGGAAGGGCATCTTGTTCCTTCATTTTACATGGTACAGAGCCATCTAATCTAGGGACCCATGGCGCAAACACCACCACCGCCGCCCTCTCCTTGGTCTCCTTCCCATGGTGACAGAGAAGCTCACCAGAGGCAACTACAACATGTGGCATGCTCGGTGTCGTCGGCTCTCAAAGGGGCCCAACTAGCGGGGTTCATCAAGCCCTTCTGCGAAACCGTCGTCGGAGTTCACGGACACCGTCGGCAAGAAGAACGACGACACGGCGGACGACAAGCGAGTCGACCAGCGCCCAATCCAGAGTACGAGAAGTGGGTAGCCAAGGACGGTCAGTGCTTAGCTACTTGTTTTCATCTCTGTCCAAGGAAATCTTTTCCTGTGTGTCATCTGCATCTACCGCCGTGGAGCTCTGGCTACGATCCGAACCTTTGCATGCCTCGCGATCCGTGCAGCGTGTGATCGCCACAAAGCATCTAAAGGAGCGTCAACCATGGCGGAGTACTTCACAAAGATGAAGGGTCTCGCCGACGAGATGACATCGGCGGGACGCAAGCTGGAGGACAAGGAGCTCGTCTCCTACATCCTCACCGGACTCGACAATGACTTCAACTCCGTGCGTCTCGGCGATTGCAGCAAGAGTCAAGCCGATCACCATGTCGGAGCTCACGCACGACTAGTCGACCGAGAGCAGCAAGGTGGAGATGCAAGGCGGGGAGCTCCATCCTCGCCAACATGGTGATGAAGAAGCGGTCGCGAGGGCGGCAACGTCAACAACAGCCCTCGCAATGGCCGTGGTGGAGGCGGCCGAGGCGGTTTTCGCCGTGGCCACAAGGGAGGCCGTGGCGGCACCGGAGGTGGTGGCGGCTTCAATCTAGCGTATTTTGCCGGTTGTGTGGCAAAGAGGGACACACGGTGGTGCTATTTGTTTCAAGAGGTTTGACACCTCCTACACCGCCCCCAAGCAGAAGACAGTGACGGCAACCTCCAACTACAGCGTGGACACCAACTGGTATATGGATACCGGTGCCACCGATCACATCACAGAAAGCTCGAGAAGCTAACCATCCGTGACAAGTACTCCGACAACGAGCAAGTGCATGCGGCAAATGGAACAGTATGGAGATTGGTTATGTTGGTCATAGCGTTTTGCATTCCCCACGCACCCATATTCATCTTAATAATGTGCTCCATGTTCCACAAGCAAGTAAAAAGTCTTATCTCAGTAAATCGTTTAGCTCGTGACAATAATGCTTTTTCCGAATTTCATCCAAATCACTTTTCCATCAAGGAACAGGGGACCAAGAGGACTCTCTGCGAGGCGAGATGTGAAGGGGCCTCTATCCCCTCAAGTCATCCTACAATAAGCAAGCGCTTGGTGCATCCAAGCTATCGTGCTAGGCTAGGACATGCGTCTCCTGCCGTGGTGCAGCAAGTTCTGAGCCGCCATAATCTTCCTTTTGTTAGAAACTCGAATAAAGCTGAAATTTGTGATGCATGTCAACGGGGCAAGAGCCACCAGCTACCTTATCCTAAGTCAACTAGTGTTTCTACTAGTCCCATGGATTTAGTCTTCTCTGATGTGTGGGGGCCGGCACCTACGTCGGTCGGCAAAAACAGCTATTATGTAAGCTTTATTGATGATTATTCAAAGTTTACTTGGATCTATCTATTGCGCCATAAATCAGAAGTATTCTCTTGTTTTCGTGTTTTTCAAAACCTTGTCGAGCGACAATTTGGTCGCAAGATCTTAAAGGTACAAACAGACTGGGGAGGTGAATATCAAACCTTGAATTCCTTTTTTAGGCACATAGGCATAGAACATCTTATTTCGTGTCCCCATGCACATCAACAAAACGGCTCCGCTGAATGCAAGCACAGGCACATTGTTGAGATAGGACTCTCTCTACTTGCTCATGCTGCCATGCCATTAAAATTTTGGGATGAAGCGTTTCTTACAGCTGTATTTCTTATAAATCACCTCCCTTCCAAAGTCATCCACAATGACACACCTTACGAGCGCCTCCATGGTCACAAACCCGACTACTCCTTCCTCAGAATCTTTGGTTGTGCCTGCTGGCCCAACCTTCGTCCATACAACACCACGAAATTGCAATTCCGCTCTAAATGGTGTGTCTTCCTTGGCTACAGCAATTCACACAAGGGGTTTAAGTGTTTAGATCCCTCTGTAGGTCGTGTGTATATTTCTCGTGACATTGTGTTTGATGAGAATGTGTTTCCCTTCTCTGAACTCCATCCCAACGCGGGTGCACGGTTGCGAGCGGAAATTTCTCTTCTTCCTGAATCCCTCCTCAGTTCCACTTTTTTTGGGGATGCAAAATTGCATGATAGACATGTTACTAACTCCGTGCCTAATACTGTGTCAAGTTCTCCTAGTTGTCAGTTGGATGCAGGAACAAACTCGGCGGGAAATAGAACAAATCTAGCGTCGAACGGTGAAAAAACGGCGTCGCCCGCTCGTTCTCACATGTGTCTCCGCGGCGGAGACCAGGCTGATGCGAGTGCGGGATCCGAAGCTGATCCTGTCGCCGAATCCGCCTCGGGATCATTGGCTTATTCGCGCGCAGGCGCGTCGGCACCGCCGGTCAGGTCTTCAGCGGGATCATCTGCGGCAACATCCAACGCGCTGCCCCCCATCTTCACTATGAGTCCGCCGACAGGTGTAGGACTACAGTTGTCGTCTGCTGCGGCTGTTGACAATCTGCTGCTGACGGAGATCCTCCCCTCCGGATCTTCTGTGGCTATCGATCCTGTTGCTCCTACTGCGCCACCTCGCTCGATCACACGCCACTCTCAAGGGATCAGTCAGCCCAAGCAGTACACCGATGGCATGGTGAGATGGTGCATGATGGCAGCTACGTCTGAGGAACCCTCCACTGTTAGTGAAGCTCTCCAAGATGAAAATTGGATTGCAGCCATGGACAGTGAGTACCAAGCACTTCGTCGCAACAAGACTTGGCATTTGGTTCATCCACCACACGGCAAAAATATAATTGACTACAAATGGGTCTATAAAGTGAAGCGACGAGCAGATGGATCCATTGATCGTTACAAGGCAAGACTTGTTGCTAAAGGTTACAAGCAGAGGTATGGAATTGATTATGAAGATACTTTTAGTCCCGTTGTCAAGGCGGCAACCATACGTCTTATTTTGTCCATAGCTGTTTCAGAGGGGTGGACTCTCAGGCAACTTGATGTTCAAAATGCATTTTTGCATGGAGTTCTTGAAGAGGAAGTATACATGCGTCAACCCCCTGGATATGTTGACAAGGATCGGCCGAATTGGGTGTGTAAACTTGATAAAGCACTCTACGGTCTCAAACAAGCACCTCGCGCCTGGTATGCTCGGTTGTGTGGCAAGCTTGAAACTCTGGGATTTGTTCCATCCAAGACAGATACGTCTTTGTTTTATTATCAGAAAGGTCGGCATACTATCTTTGTTTTGGTTTATGTTGATGACATAATTGTGGCTAGCTCGTCCAAAGATGCTACTGATGCTTTGCTCCGAGATTTGGAACGGGACTTTGCACTCAAGGATCTAGGTGATCTTCATTACTTCTTGGGCATCGAAGTCAAGAGATCAAGGGACGGTCTCCTATTGTCTCAACAGCGCTATGCTACTGATGTTGTCAAGAGAGCTGGTATGGGCAAGTGCAAACCGATCAACACTCCTCTTGCTAGCTCTGAAAAGTTAAGCGCTACAGATGGTGTGAAGCTAGGCCCTGATGATGCGACAAGATTCAGGAGTGTAGTGGGGGCTTTTGCAATACCTGACGCTGACCAGACCTGACATTTCTTTCTTGGTGAACAAAGTGTGCCAATTTTTGCATCAACCGACTACGGTGCACTAGAGCGCTGTTAAGCGCATTCTGCGGTATGTCCAAGGGACTTTGAACCTGGGTCTTAAGGTTCGGCCTTCTCAGTCCATGATGGTGAGTGCCTTCAGTGATGCCGACTGGGCAGGATGCCCTGATGACCGACGTTCAACAGGCGGGTTTGCAGTTTTTCTCGGGTGCAATCTCGTCTCATGGTGTGCCAAGAAGCAGCCCACCGTTTCTAGGTCCAATACTGAAGCCGAATACAAAGCGTTAGCCAATGCCACTGCAGAGGTGATGTGGATTCAGAAGTTACTTGATGAACTTGGGGTTCAACATCCTCGTGCAGCTCAGTTATGGTGTGATAATATTGGAGCTAAGTATTTATCTGGTAATCCAGTTTTTCATGCTCGCACTAAACATATTGAGATTGATTTTCATTTCGTCCGAGAAAGGGTTGCTCAGAAACTTTTAGAGATCCGTTTTATTAATTCTGCTGATCAGCTAGCTAATGGTTTTACAAAGCCTCTTGTTGCATCTAAAGTAGAAGAGTTCAGGAACAATCTCAACCTAGTGGCCAGTTAAGATTGAGTGGGGGTGTTAAAATGTATGTGTCTAGGTTCATGGTAACACGGTACAATCCTCAGGTTGTTGAGTAGGCGCCGGTGGTTGTGCATGTGAGCATACATAGATAGAGATCTCAGGTATAGTTTGTTGTAATTCTACCGTGATATACAAGGCCACGCAGGGGCTTTTCCCTACCTGCCCAAGAAGGGCATCTTGTTCCTTCATTTTTACACCTTGCAGGTGTCCTGGTTCCCGAGCGCGCCGCTTAGCCAGGACCGCAGGTCGGACCGGGCGTCGCCGGTGCCGACGGGGCGGCCGCCCGCCCCCGCCTTGGCAGCGCTGGCAGGGCTGTAGTCGTCGTCCGAAGTGGTGGACATGGACCACGACAGCTCGTCGGAGGAGAGGTTGAGGAGGTCGAGGCAGTCGGCGACGGCGGCGCGCCAGGGGTCCAGCGTCTCGCGCAGCGTGGAGATCAGCCCCACCGAGACGCTGCCGCCCTCCTCCCTTGCCTTCACCGCTGGCGGGGGCGCCGGCGCCGGCCATCGTCTCGGCGGGTGTGCATTGGTCGGGGGAAGCAGGGACGAGGCGCTGGCTGCAGCAGCCAGCAGCAGGGAGAGCACGAGGAGGAGCTGAGGTGCTGGGGCGCGTGGAGACGTCGACGCCATTGTTCGCGGTAGCTAGCGAGAGCGAGTGTGTCGGTGTCGGCTGTGGGTTCCTGCTCGGGGGGTGGGTTTTATAAGCATAATAATCCAACTGCGTACTGGTAGCTGTTTTCTTTGTAAGCAACAGCATGGGCATGTGTGGTGTCGCTGAACAGGTAGGGTAGTGAGGACAGGAAACGGGGGTTTAGTCATACAAGAAAGAGGCTTTGAGGCTTCTCTCTCTGCACCAGTATTCGTTACAGGTGCTTTTCAGGTGTAGTCGTCGAGTTGCTTGTTTTGCTTCCGCACAGATCAACTTTAAAGCAGCAGTGGGCGGTAAGCAAAACATAAGTGACGTTGGTTTTGTAAGGGAACTTAAGTGACATTGTTAAGGGAAACATAAGCAGCAGTCACCAAAAGATCGTCCAGCCACCCAAAGGTGCTTTCCAGAATCCAGACACACTTAGCTTATTCAAAACTACTTTTCAGCCCCGGAACAGTCACTAGTAGAGAAACGACATTTGATCCACTTTGAAATTTGGCTTTAGTCCCGGTATTTTTTCGCGCCGGGACTAGAGAAACTCTTTAGTCCCGGTTGGTAGCTCCAACCGGGACTAAAGGTCCCTGCCCAACGGCTATTGCGCGGAGACTTTTCTTGTAGGAGACCTTTAGTCCCGATTAGAGCTACCAACCCGGACTAAAGGTTAACGTTTACTCGGATGGTCCCTCCAACCGGGAGTAAAAGTCTACTCCGGCTGGAGGCTTCGTTCAGGACTAGAAAGGGACCTTTAGTCTCGGTTGCTGTCTCCAACCGGGAACAACCGGGACTAAAGGTCCCCTTCTATATACCCCTTCTTCCTCCCCGAGCCCGAGCCACTTCGAGCTTAGTGTTCTTGCTTCATCGCTGGCCTCTCTTCTTTCCTCATCGCCGGTAATCACAAGATTTATTCGATTCCTCCATCGATTCTTCGGTTCTAAAGGTTACCAACTTTATACTCTCATATTTCATCAGTAGCATATCTCATTTTGTGGGCTAGATATATGTGGTTTTTTATGGTGGATTTTTTTTATTTGTAAGCCATTTAAGCTCAAAATCACTTTAAAGTTTGCATATTTGGATGAAGGAAGGTTAAAGTAGTTATTCAAAACTAGAAAGTATAGCACACTTCATGGTTTAGAGGTATAGAGAATTTTAGAGTTTTTTTAATTTTATTTGTTTATAAAATGAGAAATTTATATTATATTAAAAATGAGTATAGAGAGTAGATGGCAACTGCTTTCGGGTCCTCGGCCTCTCATCGGGTTCCAAAGCGACTGAGGCTGGACCTCCCTCTCATTGCATGCGGTAAGTGTGAGGAGAAGATCGTGATGGAGTACCGGGTGAGGAATGAGTGTCCCAACAAGGGCCATATCTTCTACAAGTGTCCGGATCGCAATGTGAGTTATTTTGTCGTATTTGATGATTATGGTTAATTTATACTTATTTTCATGATGATTGTGATTAAAGTTCTAATTTTTTGTTTTAATTTCAGTGGGATGGCACTAGATGTTTAGGCTGGTACTGGGAGAAAGAGTATGTTGAACACGTGCAAAACCCTCTTGCACAGGCGGTTACGGCGGCTGATGAGGTAGTGATCCTGCGAAAGAAGCCCAAAGATGTTGAACAAACGCATGATCTGTCTATTTTAGTTGGAATTGGTCGCGAAATCCTTATACTGCTGAAGTGCATTTTAGCTTTAGTTTTTTTAGTGGTAGTTGGGATTGTCTACATTGTAGCGAGACTTTCATAAATTAATACCTTGTGTGATGGCATGCATGTCGTATAATTAACTAATTATATTCTAGATTTTAATATGGTATGTATGTCATGTAATGCAGATGAGCCGACATTGAATGTACAATGTTGATCGCCGCTCCCAAGAGTTCATTGAGGGCGTGCATTCTTTCATACATGTGGCCGAGGCAAACAAACGCGATGGTTTCATGTGCTGCCCATGTGCTATATGTAAGAATGTAAAGGAATATGCTAGCTCAAAGAGTCTTCATTCACACTTGTTGAAGTCAAATTTCATGCCAAACTATATTTGTTGGACAAAACACGGAGAAACCGAGGTTGTAATGAAAGAATGTGAAGAAGAACAATGGGACGATGATGACATTATTGCTGAATATGGTGCCTTCAATGATACTACAATGGCCACACAATTTGGTCTACGAAGAAGATGGCCACATAATTCTAGACTTGGAAGAAATCCCTATACACGAAAGTGGGCTATGAAGAAGATGGCCACACAATTCCAGACTTGGAAGAAATCCCTATACACAAAATACGTCAAGAAGAACCTAACGTCCAATTTCAATACTAGGGGCCCGCTCGCGAAGTTGAGGCCCTACTGGAATGATTTTGGACAGTATAAGACATTGGAAGAGGGTGAGAAACGGGTGAGAAGGAACCAAAAGAATGCCCGATAGAAGGTATTCAATATGAGATGATAGAACTCAGAAAGAGAAAGGATAATGATGTTGGTTTCGTTGATCCAAATGTCGTATTCAAACACCCTAATCTTCCGCCTCAATGGAAAGCTGAACTCGAGAAAAATCTCATGAGGTTCTTTGTGAACCAACAAAATAAAGGCATACTTTTCCCCTACAACTTCAAGTGAGTGTTAAATAATTAATGTCGATCATATGGACATGTGTTCAATTATTTGCTTACTAGCTAAGCTATCTCCCATATATATATATAATTATGTTGACTCTAGTTAATGTCGATCATATTTGTGTATAAAAAATATATGCAGCAATCACTGGATATTGATGGTCATCGATATGGCCAATAGTCGGTTGAGCATCTTAGACTCGTTAAGAAAAGAGCAAACAGAGTACCAAAATATGATAGATATTATCCAAGGGTAATTTGGTCTCTCTAGCAACTATATATACCCCGATCTCTTAACTGCAACAATTATTAAAGGCCAAATTAATTTTTTATTTTATTGGACGCAGTATTTGAAAAAGTTTCATTGAGGAACACCACATGAAACATTGCAAAGCGCCACTGGATGTAATCGCACACAAAGTAAGTACTAGCTACATTTATATATATATATAATTCAATTAACATCATGCATGCTTTTAATTCACCGGATCTTTTTCTCATAAAAATGGGTTCTGAGGCAAGAATAGGGGAACAACTACTACGAATACTATGTTTGCGAGTTCATCATGGCGTACGCAAAAAGAACTCCTGAAGAGATCATCAAAGTACGTTATATAAATATATTCATATATTCACAATTTCTTTTATTGCTCATATATATAAGTAATCACGTGACCAACATATATATATATATATATATATACTTTTCCTTCAACTTTTATTGAAGACTCTATGGTTGAAGGAAAAAGTCATATGACATGACCAACTGAAAGCAATTCAAGAGACCACAACAGGATTTCTTAATGGCCAGGTCTTAAACCCCGCCGGTGAGTTCTACAATGACGTGAACGAAGCCAAACCGGATGGAGTGAATTTGTTATCCCAAGAATATGATAGAATATACAATGCAAGCTTTATTTGTAATATATATATACATATTATATGTACATAAAATAACGTACAATATATGTATATGCATGTAATATATACGTTAGTTTTATACTTTAGTTTGTACAAAATGTTCGAACATTATAAGCGTGTGTAGAATACGTATATTATTAGCAGCGTAGAATGCGTATTCAAAAACCAAAACGAATCATCAATTGAAAATAGAAAAAAAAAAGAAAAAAAAAGAGAAAACCTTTAGTCTCGGTTGGTAATACCAACCGGGACTAAAGGGCCGGCCCACGTGACCAGGCCGGGAGGCCTCTTTAGCCCTGGTTGGTATTACCAACCGGGCCTTTAGTCCCGGATGAGAAACCGGGACTAAAGGTCCTTTAGTCCCGCATTCGTGCTCCCGGTTGAAAAACCGAGACTGAAAGGGTTTCTCAACCGGGAGTATAGCTCGTTTCTGTATTAGTGAGTATTTTTTTCTCACAACATTTCAACATAAATATCAGCGCAAGCCAAATTTCAACCTCAGCGAACAGCTCTACCGGTGAACAGTCCAGTCCAGACCCCGGATCGGCCGTTCCCCAGCCTCCGCTTTCGCAGATATTACTCCGGATTCGAATATTGGAGCCCGACACCTCTTGTGTTCAGCGGTACGTACACTGTACACATCAAGCTAGAGCTTGTGGCATGCATGCGCTGCGCGCCCGCTCCGTACACGAGGCGCTGCTCTTTCTGATTATTCTCATATTCTCTCGTAGTAGTATCATCTGTCTGTGCCTCTGTGGGCTGTGTGGCCTGGCCGCCTACAGTCTATTTGGTTGGCTGGTTTATTTTATTATTGGTTCGTGAAGGAGTATTGTTGGCTGGTTTGTGTGAGAGAAAAATACTGTTTCGGTTAGATTTTCGGTTAGAAATTTATGATCATCTATAACAAGCCACAGTCAAACGAGCAGTTTGGTTGTAGATCCTTCGGCGGTGCCGCCATGCCGCGCCGTCGATCCTTCGGCGGGAAGCAACTGGTAGGAGCGTGCCCCCTAGCTTTCAGCCTGTTCGGGAGGCCGTATCGTATCGTGGATTATTTACTGCTGGCTGGTTTGGTGTGAGAGAAAAATACTGTTCCCAGCTAAAAATTTACGATCGTTTACGAGCAAACGAATAGGCTGTTTATCAGGATCAGGCCCATGCTTGCGCGAAGCAGAGGCAGAGGTGTGTCGTGCCCCCGCCCGGACAGAAGCCGAGGGCCACCCACAGGCCACAGGCCACAGGCCACTGCCCACAGCGCCTTGGATCATCGATGCAGCCTGCGTCGCTTGGATGCGTGCGCGGCGCGTCCAAACCGCGTGGCTGTGCGTGTGTAAGCAGCACGCGAGAGCGACCAAGCGAGCCTTTTGTGCTACTCCTAGATGCGGGGCCGCGGTGGGAGGACGGGTGATTCTCTGGCGGTGAAAAAGACTGAAGAGTGGAGTTGCCTCTGGGCATTCGGCCAGACCAATCAGTTCTGTTATTTGCGCCCGCCCCCCTCCCTCGATTGATCCCGGTTTACTAGGCTCAGTCTTGCGATGCCGAACTAATAACGGCCTGCAGCTAGTAGCGGTTTATACAAAGGTCCGAAATGGCCAAACAGGACTTCAGAAGATGTAGATTTTTTAAGAATTTTATAACCTTTACATCGAGTAAATAATGCCTCGGTATAAAAGCATAATGCCTTAAAAAAAAGCAAAAGCATGCCACTTTAACGAATATCAATCTTAAGACTAGATCGCCCTTCATGTGTCTTAAAAAAACACTATGGTCGTCTACACCAATTTTTCTGACGTCACTGTAATCAAAACTTGCGAGGTAAGCTTCTAGAACCTAAGTGCGAAACCAACGGATAACTGAACGTAGCACCCACAAAGGAGAATATGTATGCTTTCTTTCAAATACCAAATCATTATTCCTACATAACCACAACGACCAACAAGTAGCTACTATCCAGCTGAACTAAAGGTTTTAAATACCTTCCAAACCCTCGAAGCCAACGTCAGAACATTTGAGAAATATGCATGTAGCCCCAAACCGCAGTAAAACGACATTCAAACAAGACGTGCTTAATTGTATTGTGCCAAAAGCAACACTCTTTACTGCCTTTCCAATTGCGTTAGGCTAAATTGTCTTTTTGTTAAAATCACTCCTCTACGAAGATACCGAAGAAAACAAAACTATCTTTAGTGGAGCCTTTAGTTTTCAAATGATTTTCGTCATGTTTTTTAGCACTACTTCAGCAGAGCAGCAGCATTAGCCAAATTTCAGCGAAACAAACACGACATTTGTTTAAGTTGAGAACATCTAGGTGAATCAAAGCTGAATAATGTGATCTCACTGAGAATTGGCCATTGGGTCTAAGGAACAGTGAAACAAATCATGCCATTGTGTAAGCATGGCATTGCGAGGAAGTTCATTTCATGCTACTAATTTGTGTCTAATTTATGTCCAATCAAGTCACGTCATGTGATGAACTAAAAACCTCGGCTACAGTATCATGCTTGTGTTTAGCGATATTGTATAAGCAAGGATATTGTTCCTACAAAGTTGAGTTTTCCAACCATTTATCCTCATAGAATCTCACTTAGGCTTAGATCATACACCGAACCGGCGGTGGGCAGTGAACCACCGCCCACTTTCACAAATGACGATGAAACCAGCTCTCATAAAGTTTGTGGAGTAGCGAAGGATCCAAAATAGAGAAAATCTTGTTTCACTTTTATAAGACTAGCCTAAAAATCTACAGTTTGTTATGAGATAAAACAATTACCTTGCTTCCTCTGTGTTTGCAATTGAGGTTGAGAAATCAACACCATTCGAGGAACGAATGAGACGCCAGTTAGCACTTGACAAGAATGATGTCAAGTAGGATTTTTTTTAACACTTTTTTGAAACTATTTTCAAATATGACACTGTTTTTTTTAACTAATACTTTTGACCGCGCTTATTCGCATGGCGCGGCGAAATCACGTTGATGCGCCATGCATGGGGCGCGGTAGGAGCGATGACGTGGCAGCGACTAGGACCGTTGAACGCTGACGTGACCGGGGCTGCTGCGCCGCGGATCTAGACGCGGCACTGACGTGGCGGCAGAAGGTGATTTCGCATCATTTTGTACCGCACACCCCCACACAGCTCTCGCTCGGCGGGCCGCGCGCTGCATGCATGCATGATGCACGACGCACACGCATGAAGCCTGCGCGGGCGCGCAGCTCTCGCCGGCCGGATCCGCGCGCGCGTTAGGCCGTTATTAGCTTTACTGATTTCCTTTTTGTTTCTACTTTGAGGAGGGACCAAAAAAAAGGTAAGTAGCCATAGCGTGTATATAGGTACGCTGGCACACCGTTACGGCCGTCTTTTCAGATGAGCGGCGGCTAGCTAGCTACGGTGTCCATGTACAGTTGCACACCAATCCATATCCATCGCGTCGGTTCCAACTGTTCTCCTGAAGTTTCACTCACTCGATCGACTGTTTACTGATCTGTGATATGAGTATGCTTTTAAAAAAACTGCTACGAAAGGGGGTGTTACCATTATTACCAGTTTTGTTCGCTGAGCTTTTGGGTCAACGAGGAAGTTTTTGGATGAACCCATGAATTGTTTGATGAAAGGACATGTTCGTATGATCAGCTAGGACTAGCTTAGCCCATTTATAACTAGCGATTTGGCTAACAACCCATTGAAGTTTTGGCTAAAAAGTTAGCCTACATATTAGCCCTCCTGTATGGATAGGTTAGAACTAATTTCAGCCCGCGAACAATTAGCCCTTGGTATTCAGGCATACCACTAACTAGTTTTTTTTGTTCGATTGAGGTGATTAGATTTAATCAGTTTTTTAGTTATCAAATGTACAGTGATAAATTAGCTGTTTGCTCGAAACTGTAGTTAGGAGAATTTCAAGCTAAGCACTTGGAAAATACTAGTCACAACCAGACAAAGTGAAAAATAGCTAGTAATCCAAAATCTTTGAATGTTGTGAACCATGCTTCACTTATATATTACTACTGCATGCTCCCTCCGTAAAAAAAAATGTAATTCTCGTTTTTAGGAGTCAAACAGTTTAAACTTTGACTAAATTTATATAAAAAGATATTAGCATTCATGATACAAAATAAGTATCATTGGAATAGTTATAGAATATATTTTCATAATAAATTTATTTGAACACATAAATGCTAAGTACTATTTGCTATAAACTTGATCAAACTTGAGTCAGTTTGGCTAACACGGATCCTATAATTACATTTTTTTTCGGACAGGGGGAGTACTATTTATAACTAGTGGTCCAAATTGTGTTTTACCATATATAGGTAACTCGTTCAAAACCACGAACATATATACAATCCAAGAGTTTATTCCTTTTTTAAGATAAAGACGACAGAGTTTATCCCTAAAGTGATGAAATGGTTCTTCATCAAATTAAACAACATTCGATCATTGTATAGCTGGTGGCTAGCATCCACAGCAATGGTTGCAGTTTGCATACGATCCGCTCACCCTTTGCCTTTTGGCCTTTTCCCACCGAAGCGGCGCTGCGAGCTAAGGCTCACACCACATTTCGCACTTACTAGCTGCATGCAGTCCTTGTCGTCTGACATGCCTTTTCCACTGCGGCTCCAAGCAACGCCCTCTTCAGTTTTCATTCACCTTGCGTCAGTGCCACGCCCAGATCCACAGCGTGGTAGCCCCAGCCACGTCAACGGTCCCCATCGCTGCCACGTCATCGCTCCTACCACACCCCATGACGCGTCAACGTAATTTCACCGCACCATGCGAATAGACGCGGCCAAAAGTGTTAGTTTTGAAAAAAATAAATAAACAGTGTCATATTTAAAAATAGTTTCAAAAAAGTGTTAAAAAAAATCTCAGGTAGTGGGATAAACAGTAACATGCCTCGCAATGGATAAATGTATGAAATGCAAAGGATTTGTACTAGTCGTTTGTTCTTTGCTAACACAGCAACATTGTACAATACTCGTGTTTATTTTCCAAAAAAAAGGGAACACGTGTTGTTTTCTTCGCCCCCGCTTGGGGCCTTTGCCTAATTTTATGTACAGGTAAGCCAGCTATACTCCAGTAACCGTTATATTTACACGCAAAAACTACAGCAGCCGTGGCGTCCGTATGTTTGTTCAGTCATCTGTTCATACATTCTCACTGGAGATGAGCACGAAAGCTCCAAGACCTTGGAATTCGCAAAGGTAACCTGCACAAAAAGAGGAAAAAAGTATGGGGCTGGATATCATGAGTATGTGAAATGACCCAAATGTTATTTGAATTCAGTATGAAAGCTACAACTTCATATAAACTTCAAATTATAGTTCACTTTGGCTTTTTCCTAAGTCAAACTTCTTTTTAACTTTCATCAAGTTCATAGAAAATTGCACAAAATCTATCACATTAAATTTGTTTGGTTAAATTCTCCATACAATATATTTTAAAAGTGCATTTTTTACTTAAACTTGTAGATGATAATGTATTTTTTTTAAAACTTGGTCAAAGTTAGAGATTTTGACTTAGGACAAAGCCAAAGTGAAATATAATTTTTTTTTTGACCACGAAGTGAAATATAATTTGAAACGGAAGGAGTACAAAACTGCATCCATGGGTGCAAAATTAATGCAGACAGCAATCACCAAAATACATGCAACGATATATATGGGGAGCGGCAGTTTAGAGCCTACCATTTAATGGATGGCAACCAGATAACGAGATTCCTGGCACGACACCTCAGTGCATACTGAAGATTTCAAAGCAGGTTCTGCACTACCGCAAATTATACTGCAGGTCCTCGTCACAGTCCAGCACTCCAGCTTCACAAAGATGGAACTTTGGCATAGCAGTAGTCTCGTTCCAAACCTTATTTAGCAGACACACTTGCCTTTTCCTTTTCCTTTTCCAGTTTCTTTTTCTCAGCCTCCGCATTTCGAGCATTTTCATCACGTGATTTTTTGAACATATTCACAAAAATAACCAAAATTGATGTGACTGTAAATAAAAGAGCAATAATTGGTCATCAGGTAAACATAAGAACTACATACAGCTGTGCAACAAAATTGATTCGTGTCAATCATACAAAGTATGATGGTTCAGTTCGCAGGGAAACTGAAGGAGCTCAGGCAGTCAGATCAACTTAAGTAGCTAACCAGTCGCCGATATTAGCAACTTCAATAAAAAGTTACAGTTTGGATAAAAGAAGACAATCAGTGGAAAAGTACTCAAGGGGCTAAAGAATAAAAAGTTGCAGTTTTGATAAAAGAAGCAGAATTATGTTTGACATAATGTAATGCGCAAACTGAAGCCTATGGTGTCCTAGTGGGGTAATCAAGATTAGGTTACTCAAAGGTCATTTTTTGCTTAAATATCCTGTTCAAAGAAAATTTGATTGGTATTGACTTCCATCACTACATGTTCAGATGGGATTAGCATGAATAATGTAAATGTGTGTAACCAAGAAACCAATGAGCCAACGTCTAGTAAAACGTTTAAACACAACAAACGCTAAAATATACCTTGCTCGAACGGGCAGCGTGCAGGATCCTCACCAAAATACTGAGCTAGCGAATCAGCGTTTCTTCCCTGCAAGACTAAAATATCAGAATCTATAACAAGAACAGGAAAACAGGGTAAATACTTTTTATGGCAGTGACTCACCACTTCAGCATACAAGGAAATGAGGGACCTAACCTCAGCTTCTGCTGCATCAAGAAAGCTTTTCAATGCCTGTACAACCAATCTTAGTTCAGTCAGTAAAGAAGTCATCATTATTGTACACCTACTAGGCTACTACACATGTAAATTTACTTGAGGTGCGCATAGGCACTTGTCACAACTCACAAGTATGTTGAACATTTACATTTACAGCAACTTTACTGCTATAAATATAAAACTACAAATCAGGAAAAACACACACACACACAAACTGCTCATATTTCAGCACTGGTGGAGAGGCCCACCACAGTTAAAGCCTCTGAGGTGGCAGGGTAAGAACAGGAAGAAAAAATACAATAGTGAGTGCAAGATCTGGGGACATGAACCTGCATTTTTGCCTAATAGATTAACCCTAAACCATCTTGAAGTGATGTATTGACGTAAACTGATTTAAGTTCAGTCATCCAGCAACTCCTAAAAGAAGAGATAAACCCTACCATACCTCAATAAAGCCAACTGAAATTGCACCATCACTTTCGAAGCAGCTAGCTCCTGCTCCACCTTCTCAAGACCTTTGTTTATTGCTTGCATTTCTTCCATAAGCAATTTCAGTTGGATCTGTGGGGATTAACAAATTCAATTGTTTTGTAACATACTTGATGAGTAGAAAGCTTACTATTCACCCAGAAGTGCAAACGATAAGTTGATTGAAATACCTTGGAAGCTGCTTCCAAATAAATTAGGTCTTTGTCAAAAATCAAGAAGTTCAGGCATTTTCTCAGCAAGAAGCTAGCATGTATAGAAATGGAAAGAAGTTAGCTAAATTATGAATGAAAAAATGACAGACTAACAGCCACAAAGCAGACGAATAAATCTGGCATGCAAAGAGGAAAGTGGAGTTGCCATGAAACTGAGTTAAAAGTAGGTACTATTCATTGATTGGCAGTATACGATGTGGAACATTAGCATGCCAGGCCACTTTTACAAGCATGTGTGGTTTTTATGATGTAAAACAAAAGTAGCACAGTGGCCAGTTGCCCACCTATATAGCACGTGTTTGGATAACTAGAACAAGACTAGTACCTGGACACAGTTTACTGGGAAGCACCCATATTTCTGACTAAAACCATACTTTGCAGTTAACCAGGTAAAGTTAGTCAGGACCAGATAACTCGTTTGAAAGCAGGGAAAATCAATCTAGCTCACCGACAACTCGTTTGAAAGCCGGAAAAGCAGTCTAGCTCACAATATCTTAACGATAACTCGACATAAACCCGCCCAGCAAGCTTTAGCCAAAACTTTGGTCAGATTTTCAGACATTTGCCATTGACTTTCTGAAACCTTTGAAGTACACAAGCGACCCTTGACCACCACCTCCCCAGGGACTGTAACTTGCATGGGAGATATTCTCAAAAGAAAATGGTTCAAGGTCAACAAATACATGTCTGAATCTGGTTGGACTGCTACAACTGTAAACTTAAAGCAAGCTTTGTATAGGCACACATTTAATACAAGCTGATATGGTAAGATCTTAGTATCTAACTGTTACAAAGCGAATCCATTGACCGCTTAAGGCAATTGACATATCAAGAAGGACATATGGTGACAATTGACCTTTGGGGTATTTGGAAAATCCTAGCATTGTTGTCTGTTGTATCAGTTTTTGTCAATTCTAGAGATAAACAGTTACTAATCTATATTTTTTTTTTTAAACACCAAGCTACCATGTACCAAATAGATACTAAACACATGTAGCATGAGTCCATGACTACAACAAAATCATTTATACCCCCACCGTTTGTTTTTAGTAAGAGTATTAGAATTTGAAAAGAACTCTTTAGAGGTAATATTTTCACCACTAATCTCTTTACAATATAGCACCAAGTGCTACAATCGATGTCATCTTAAGAGATATTTGATACATTAATCCATGCATATAACTTTTGTGCACTAAGTATGCACATAATTTGACTAATCGTTGGTCCAAATTATGAATAGAGTATAATACATATGCTGGGAATCAACAAAAAAAAAAGCCTTTTAGCCCCAAGCAAGTTGCAGTAGGCCAGAGTTAAAACCCAACATGAGTCACCAAAGGGAAAAGAAAGAGAATGGAAATAAATACATAGCCACATGGGGCATCAATAATAGTGATATAATCAGGGGATCTAAGCCTTCTCATGGATAATGACTAAGGAAGCTTATTAAATATAAACGAGTCATAAGTGTGATTCAGAATTAGCACCACATCAGCATGTAGAAGGGCCAGTGCCCACTGGAGTACAATCTTGTGTGCTCTGCCATATTAGACAAGAGAGGCTAGGGGCACACTAATGTTCTATGTTACACGGATACGTCACTGGGAGCGCGTATCGCGTATCCGATACGTATCGGATACGGATACGTGTCCGATGCTCCTCGGATACGTATCCTCGGAGTATCCGATTTTTTCTTTTTTCGCGAATATTGGATACGGCAGTCGATACGTATCTGGCTTGCGGATACGACCCAGCCCAATAGCAGTCGACTCCCTTATCCCTATGTCCTCAACGCCCTAGCCTCGGATGCCCGCACTCCCGCACGCCCGCGCCTCACGCCGCATCCCCGCTCGCCGGCCGCCGGCCACCTGCGACGAGCCTCTGCTCGCTGGCGATGAGGTCTGCTCGCCCGCACAGCGCGGTGCCAGGAGGCGGCCACCCGCTGCGCCCTGACGTCGGGAGAGATATATGAAGGGGAGGAGGGTGGGCGGCGTGGAGGCATCGGCGTGGTGGGAGCGGCGGAGATGTCTAGGGACCTAGGTACGGGAGAAGTGTCTGGATTGGGAGGGAGGACGGGGGAGACGTGCGCTGTCGTTGGGAGGCTGGGAAGAGGATAAGGTCGACGGCAGAGTGGGGCAACCAGGACACTTGTGATTTGCGAATTTGATGTCCTGTTCGGTTGTTCCTGTGGGCTGTGGGCCTGTGGCTGTACCTGGGCTCCTTTGTCCTCTTCCTCTCCTTTCTACTTCAGAGTTCAAGGTGATGTGCTGAGCTGCTACTTGTACTGATTAAAGGTTACTGAACTACTTTCACAATTTTAATATGTGCCATTATTTATTTATTTAAAAAAAATAGTAAAACATATCCGCGTATCGGGTTTTTTAGGAAATTGCCGTATCCGCGTATCTGTATCCTTCCGATACCGATACGCGTATCCGTATCCGTGCTGCATAGCTAATGTTCATATCTAACAAAAGTTGATCATGAAGTATGTAACATGTGTTCAGTAGTAAAGACCTGTAAGGTGATTAACTGATTAAGCATGTGGCAACAGTACATTTATAACAAATCTCAGTGACAAGTGAATACCTTGCATAAATAATGCATCAGCGTCATCTTATTATTTCTAGCTCGGGTATCCGACAGTTTAAGAAGGCTGTCTAATCTGAAGCCAACAGCAGATCCTGTTCAATCAATCCACAGACAAGGGCATCACGGAAAGTTCTCAGAGAAAAGGAATTGCATATGACTTCTCTGCAGTTATTTGATAGGAACTTGCTTCTATGCTTCACCCGTTTAATGCGAGTCGCACAAATCTTGAAGCACTCCAAGGGGTGAATCATTCAAATTCACTTTTGACTTTGTGCTTTAGGTTGGTGGAACTCCCAGGGGGTGAAGCATAGAAGCACCTTCCTAAAATACCTCGTGCTGTCCCTTGATTTAGTGCATTCCCCAGTGTGAGAATGGTCTGCATTATCTGTCGTAACTTCAGAGACTCTTTGACCTGCATAAATCGAAACCATTAAGCCAGCACATGGGTATAACATATCTCAATATTGTAACAGAGTATCGCCATACCTCCTTTGTTGCATCGTTTATGGTGGTTAGGTTAGTTCTTAGCTCATCTACCTGCGAAAAGGTCAATTATTACAATCACATACAGACATACTACAAAATTATGGAGGAGACACATATTTCAGGCAAGTTGGCTGGGGGTTCACCAAACCTGTGTTGAGAAAGTAATTCTGAAAGCAAAAACTCTTAGCTTGGCCTCTACACGTGGAACTTTCATCAGCTCCAGGAAGAACTACATTGTAGTTTAAAGCTTCCATCAACACATAAAGGAGATCCTTTCCCAAAACAAAAAAAAAAGGAGGCACTGTGTGAAATGAAACACAACTCACCTGTTCGCATTTCCCAAGCATTTCTTTGTTGCCGTTATAACCCTGAAATGTGAGACAAGGAAAGGACACACATTTATGATAAAAAACATGTCAAATTCTGATTAGGAAAGCAAGTCAAATCATAAGGTGAGTACAGAAAACATGAAAAGAATTACCTTCAACATCTCGATCTCTTCCTTTGTAGGGCAAAACTTAATGAGATTCTCCACTTGGTCATTATCAAGAACAGAAGTGTCCAGAGCCAAAATTGCATTCTGCCAGACACAATCATAAAACAAAATTATGTGGGAGTACAAAATAAGAACCAGACTGGAAGGGATTTATTGGAAGTGCCAACATAAAACAATGTGCAATGTCAAAAGTGTGACAAATTACCTAAGAAACAAAACATGCATCTAGAAATCATACAGCTCAGCAATGGCTTTAACAACTAATGATCACATATGCCAGTATTAGCAAAGAGAAACAAAAAACATTCAAGTTGATACTTTTACCATGCACCAATAAAGAATGGTCTGATCTATGAAATTATGATATAATGTAGGGAGTGTAGTGCCAATGTTGCTATGACTTTTTATATACTACAAAATCAATTGATTATGATACATTTTAGGGTTAACATGGCAGGTACACTGAATAACAGCAGTCACTAAGAGTCATCAACGTATCACAAACTGAAACTGGAGTATTGCCCACTTTTATTACTAGTAGAGACAGGTTGGACCAGGAAGTGAACTCACAATCATATCAGGTAGAGGCATTTTAATTTTTGTAAGCATTATCTCACAATTATTTGCTCGTCGCATGTCAACCTGAAATGATACTCACAAACAATTAGACTGTTCTCTATTGAACAGTGGAATATTTATTCAACATACTAATACAACAACAACAACAACAACATAGCCTTTCAGTCCCAAGCAAGTTGGGGTAGGCTAGAGTTGAAAGCCACCAAGAGCCCCAAGTCACAGTTCAGGCACTTCAATAGCTGTTTTCCAAGTACTCTTATTCAAACATAGATCTCTAGGTATATCCTAAGCTTTCAAATATCTTTTTATTGCCTCCCCCCATGTCAATTTCGGTCTTCCTCTACCTCTCCTCATATTATTAGCTTGGCTTAGAAATCCACAATGCATTGGTGCCTCTAGAGGTCTCCTTTGGACATGGCCAAACCACCTCAACCGATGTTGGACAAGCTTTTCTTCAATTGGTGCTACCTCTAGGCGATCACGTATATCATCGTTCCGAACTCGGTCCATTCTTGTGTGACCGCAAATCCATCGCAGCATACGCATTTACGCACACACTCAGTTGTTGAACATGTCAAATCTTTGTAGGCCAACATTACGCTCCATACAACATAGCGGTCTAATCACCGTTCTATAGAACTTGCCTTTTAGCTTTTGTGGTACCCTCTTGTCACAGAGAATGCCATAAGCTTGTCGCCACTTGATCCATCCTGCTTTGATTCTATGGCTAACGTCCGCATCAATACCTCCATCCCTCTGTAGCATCGATCCCAGATACCAAAAGGTATCCTTCTTCGACACTACTTGACCTTCCAAACTCACATCTCCCTCCTCTGTACAACTCCGCCAAAGTCGCATCTCATGTATTCGGTTTTAGTTACGCTCAATCTAAAACCTTTAGACTAAAGGGTGCATCGCTATAACTCTAGTTTCCTATTTACTCCCGCTTGGCTTTCGTCCACTAACACTACATCATCAATGAACAACATACACCAAGGATATCCTTGTATGTTCTGGTAACCTCATCTATTACAAAGGCAAAGAGATACGGGCTTAAGGTTGACCCTTGATGAAGTCCAATTTTAACAGGGGCACTGGTGCAAGCGGCAGAGTCTTACTACGCTTTGACCGGAAGGTCCCGAGGTTCGAGTCATGGTCTCCTCGCATTGCAAAGCGAGGTAAGGCTTGCCATCGACACCTTCCCAGGACCCATGCCAGACAGAGGGAGCTCTCTGCCTTTGGGTACGCCTTTCGATGTCTGTGTTACCATCGTTTGTTTGAACACTAGTCACAACATTGTTGTACATGTCCTTGATGAGGGTCACATACTTTGATGGGACTTTATGTGTTTGTCCAAAGACCACCACATAACATTTCTTGGTATCTTGTCATTTATTCAACATACTAATATGGAAGGAAAATCACAAGTAATTGAAATCATCACATATATTCCATCCAGTCACAAAGGTGACACTTTGAGACCATGAAATCAATTAGTTCTAAATTGACCTATAATTTGGAGACCATGAAATCAGACAACAAACAATTTGAGATTGGATGTGTTTATAATGTCATAAATGGTCACAGTTGTGTTTGTGGGGCCATGCCATGTTCAAAATGAATGCTGGGAAAATACAAGGAAGCTAAATATGAAACCAGCACTCCTTTTAATCACAAAAGATTCAACATTTTGAGATGTATGAAGTCACATAATTGAATTTGGCCATCCATATCTTTACTAGTGTTCAGGGCAGGAGTTTTACAAGCATATGTGTACATTTGGCTCAAAAAGTATTTTTGTAATATCAGTTGTCAGATTTCATAAATATACTATAATGGAAATTAATGAATAATGATAAAGCTGCATTAGGTCAATGTGTTGATGTTCTTTTTTTTTGTGGCTGGAGGAAATACAAAGTAATAAGATGCCAAGGAAAAAGGAATAACCACATAAAAGAGGGCAACAATGGCAGCAGGTTTGCACCATATGTGCAACACTAATGAACCATCCTGTATTTCCATACCACTGTTGTTAATGGAACTAATAAACCTCACATGGGCTAGTTTAATTCAGCTAATGCAAACATAGAAAAAATATAAATTGATTCATAGAAGAAAGAGTGGTCTTCATATGGCATGCAGTAGTTTTGTCAAGAATAATAAGACAGTCTGAGTTTCAAAGTTTCGACATAACAGATAATAAAGGAAAAGGTTATGTTAGACAGCCGCATATGTGCACTTGGGCTATAGGCCCGTTATGGTTATTATTATAGATTCATTGCTATTGTATTAGGCCAGGAGATCCGACAGTGATCTTACTTCTATAAACCAACCCGGGGTCCTCCTTGCCTATATATGTACCCCTGCCTATTGGCCTCTAATCAATCTACTAATTTACCGTGCAATTCCATTGCTTTCAGGTTATGAAATAAATGTGACAGGAAACAATCGATTTCTGTAGCAGCAGGAGAACAACCTTGAAGCATTCTACATTAAACAAACCATTTTTCCCACAGATAGGGAGAACAATTGAGCTTTTAGGAGTTTTGAGAAAATGTTGCAACAAAGAAATGGAAAATTTTCATACCAGGTGAACAATTTCTGGCTTGTTAATAGCTGAACCACGTCTTGTTGCCCCCTTTTCACTTGTGCTGGTTACAACTGCAGTGGAGAACAAGCTCTCCAGTTCGGATAAATCGATATCAGGAGCCCTGACAAACAGTGCAAAAGTGAACACAGCTTTAGTGGAGAGACCTTCCATAGCTTAAATAACTAAAAGAAACTACAAGTCCAGAATCAAAGATACATATATGATGAAAAAATATAGCACATTCTACAATCAGTTCATTTAATCAAAGGTTTGTGTTCATAAATAACATATTTCATATTTAATAAACTGGTGGTATGAGAAATGTAAGCATTCAATAGTAAACCAACAGATGCAAAACGATGTGATGACATGTTATGAATACTTGAACAGAAAATCATGCTATAAAATTAAAATATGTCCACAGCAGCTACCTAGCCTGATTCCCTTGCTTTTGGGCATCAGCCCAGAGACTCCCTTGCATTGCTCTCGTGACTTTCACCCAATGTAGAGGCTTCAGTGAAGCCTTCTTGGGAGGGTTACTTTGCTGTGCCAAACCAATGCCACGGCCTTTAGTTGGTCCAGTTGCGTTGCCTCGACCCCTTCCCAATAATGGAGGTGGTGCTGGTGCATTTGAGATCTTTGAGCTTGGTGGTGGTGGAGGTACAACTCCAGGAGGTTTTGGAGGTACAACTCCAGGAGGTTTTGGTGCTTGAGGTGGTGGGGGTGGGGGCACAGGCACTTTCTTTCCTGTCATTAGGGGAGGTGGCGGTGGGGCTGGAGGAGTTTTTATTAGAACCTGGGGGGTGGTGGGGGTGGGGGTGGGGTGGGGATGGAACAGAAGGGCCAGAAGTTCTTGAAGAAGTAGCAGGTGGAGGCGGAGGCGGAGGTGGTCCTTTCGAAGAAGTACCAGAAGCAGCTGTAGGTGCTTTACTAGAAGAGGGAGGGAGGAGGAGGGGTGGCCTAGCTATTCCAGGAGCCGGAGGTGGCGGTGGTGGTGGAGCTGCACAAACATTTTGCTGTTTTGCTGCCCCAGAATTTGGCAGTGGCGGTGGGGGCAGGGGGGGGGTGGAGCCTGTGAAGGAGACACGCTGCTAATTCGAGGAGGTGGTGGTGGTGGTGGTGGCGGCGGTGGCGGTGGTGGTGTTGACATAATATGTTTTCTTCCACTTGGCGGCGGTGGCGGCGGTGGTGGTGGAGGCTGTGTGGGACCTACACTGCTAATCCGAGGTGGTGGTGGTGGCGGTGGCGATGGCGGTGGCTGTGAAGGACCTACACTGCTAACCCGAGGTGGCGGTGGCGGTGGCGGTGGTGGAGGTGACGGTGATGAGAGAACATGTTTACTCTCACTTGGTGATGGCGGCAAAGATGAACCAGGTTTCCTACCACTTTGTGGCAGTGGCGGTGGCGGCGGTGGAGGCGGCGGTGGAGCAGGTTGTGATGATGGAGACATGTTACTTGGTAGCTCCTGCAGTGATTCTATTAGGGGTTCACTTGGCCCGGTTGCCAACACAGGCGAAGCAAGGGTAGAAGGTACCATATGAGGAGGCAGAGGTGGTTGAGGCTGGGGAGGCAGGGATGAACTGTTCATTGAGAGAGTAGCTGCAAAAATGTGATAGTTTAGAATCAGATTTTAATAATTACACAAAAAGGTTAATGGAAGACAAATACACTAAGGAGGATAGTGATGCGACCCTGAAATGTATAGGGCACCATGCACAGCAATGCAAAGCAATATTTCTCTCCTAAAGGGAACCTCATATAGATTGAATAACATGATCAATAACTTACAAAGTAGAAATTGGTTCATGCAAGAAGTTATTATACCACTGGATTCAAAATCTTCAGTTGTATGATCACGATCAATATTCTCTGAGTCAGATGAGTTTCCACCATGCTGAACCTTCTCATGATCAGCTGAAGAAACAGAATCAGAAGCCACAGAATACTTTTCTTCATCAGAATCAAGTGGAGACATCAGTGGCATCTGTAGACCAACTTTAGCTTGCATTCTCGAGATCTCTTTCATGTCATTGAGTATAAGCTTTTGAAATTTCTCTTGCAGCGAGTTTGCTGAGAATTCTTTGAGCAACCAATAGGCAGCATCATCGCTGCTTTCAATCCAGTCAACTCCATTGAAGAGTTCTTGAACAGCTGAAAAGGCTTCAACTGGTAAACCACCCTTCACGTCACCATTGAGTGTTGCTGTTGGAGCCCTTGGGGGAGATATGCCCCCAATTTCACAAAACAGCACCTACGTTTTAAAATTTGTGTCAGTGATCCATTTTAGTCCAGGGCAATTTCAAAGAGTATATGCATCGATTTACCTCTGCTCTAAAATTCCTCGGATATCGCTCTTTTGAACCCCAGAGTATATCCACATCATCGCTATTCAGCATCAATACATTTGAACGTATAAAAGCAGTATTGAACATTATCCTGAACATCATGACTTCCTTCTCTGGATCAAGATCGAGATGTACACACTCCAGAACAATATCTCCCTGGACTAGACATTGTATGTCAATTTTATCACATCACAATCCTCCTGCATTAAGACATTCCCAACTGATGTCATCTCAAAATAGAGTGACAGAAAGCTACTGAATTGTTCATGTTGAATTCCATGTCACCTACCTGCCGATAGTGCCGAAGAGATTTCTTCTTTGGCATGGAAAAAATCATGTTGGTCATGCTAGCATTCTTGCCAAGAAGATTTCGCCCAAAAATGCGGACTAATGGCCTGCATCCATTATCAGAATCAAAACTTGGAATCGCTCGAAGAATCAGGCAATCCAAAGAGAGTGCTCTTTCCATTGGAGGCCACTGTGGAGATATATTTCTTCTGGCTACATACTGCATGTAACGGAGTTGAGATGGCATTGGATTAAGGGCAGAAAAGAGCTGTAGGAACCCTTTAGGTGCCTCACGGTAAATAATGTCCAGAGTTTTATGCTCAGCGCTGTTCAATTTCTTGTAGATGAGAAGACAAGATAAAAGAAAAGCCAACAATGGCCAGGCCCCTCTTTCACAATGGAGTAAGATAATGTTCTGATTGGTCCCACTGGATAACCAGTGCTCACAGACACGAAGGAAATGCTGAATAAGAGATAAAGGAAGCACAGGACAGCCCTCAAAATGACGGGGGTAATCAATGACTGGAATGTTGTATTCACGTAGTATATCAGCAAGCTGGCTTCTCTTATCTCCATCTCTGAAGTTAATTGCCAGAAATGAGGATTCTACATGCTCTTCATGCAACTCTGTAAGAATCCCATTTAAATACACTGGGTACATTCCCTGAGGCAAAACTTCAGTGCTGAAGCATGAATCAAAAACTGTACAATGCCAAAAGATGCGATTAGTTGAGCTGTCATAAATAAGTTACATTGATCTAAGAAGGCGATCAATATAGTAAAATTCTCCATGCATACCATAGATCCTGTCAACAAACTCCAGTAGTCCATCAGGAGGCCTCTTGTAGAAGAATCTACTAAGAAGTGACATTTCATGTGAATGAAGAAATGTTGATATAACTGCTCAGGATCTTTTTTGTGTTGTGGGGCAAACTGCACAGGATTTCTAAGTGTTATCTCACAAGCACTGCAAAAGTAAATTGATTTCAAAAGAACCAACTATAAGGTGTAAGGGCGTGATAATCATATCTGAAAGTTGGAATGAAGTATTCTGATTAGTCATTTTAACTGTCACATGTAGGGATGTGATTATCATTACTGAAAATCAGAGTGCAGTATGTCTGGTTAGTCACTTTATCCATTTAAGATTGTAGCTGCTAGCAGAGGTCAGATTAGTGAACAAATACTTGGGAGATAAGTGGATACAACTATAGTAACTGGTCTTGCTTCTCACAAGTCCAACACTTTTTCCACTAGGATGTCATCGCAGCGCTAAGCAAGGATGGAGACATGCCAGCTCAATAGAGTTTGTTTTCATTACGACAACAGCATAAAACAGTTAGGTATCGGCCAACTCCAGAACAGGAAACTTAGAATGTATGCTAAGCTATCCTAACATTGTACCTTCTCTCCCATTCATGCTCCCCTTACCAACCCCAACCAAATTGTTATGGACATATGGTTGTTGCAGACAAGCTATCTAATGGAAGTTCCAGCTGTGCTCCTATTGAGAACTCTCTACGTCACTGTGTATATTGCCTTGTTCCAGTGCAGGGGCATTTGGTTGGGGAATGGGGATTCAGCTAAACGCCTGAACCCCAAAAGGTGTTGGAAAATAAACTATAAACTGCACCTGCGATTTAACTGGCATGTACCGAGAAGTCCTATGGTGTAAACCAGTGACGACCTCACGCGCTGAATAAGAACTTAATCAGATAAGCTAACCGAACCACTGCGCAGCACACAAATCCACAACTAAGAATTGAGTGGACAGAAATTACTACTTGGTTCGATTGAGAGACGAACCAACTCTTAGGACAAGAGAATCCTATTCCTATCCCAAGTGAGTTTAAGATTACTTACCAACAAAAATGGAGACGAAACCAACCCAACGCCCGTGTGGATCTCCACTCCACTGCCCACGAGAGGAGAGCCGCCGCCGCCGCCGAAAGCCGCGCAGCAGACTACGAGTGGCGGGGACGGAGAAGGACCGGCCGCGGCGGGCGCGGGGGGGCGCGGCGCGGGGAAGCCTAGGTTGGCGCTCCCGAAGCCAGGTAGCAGACTACGAGTGGCGGGGAGGGAGGAGCCAGCCGTGGCGGGGCGCGGCGGCGCTGGAAAGCCTAGGTGGGTGCTCCCCGAAGCCGAGCAGCAGACTACGAGTGGCGGGGAGGGAGGGGACCGGCCGCGGAGGGGCGGGGCGGGGCGGAGCGCGGCGCCGGGAAGCCTAGGTTTGGAGTGGTAGTGGAGGGGAAATTTCTGAGCTGGGAGGGAGAGAGGAGTGTTTTTTTCCTCTGTTTTCGGGTGCGGTTTCTCTCTCTTCGGCGTACTCGTTGTGCGGCGCTGCAACTTTGAACTGAGGGGTGCGGCTCTGGCTTCCGGGCTCCAGATGCGGGCGTGGCGTGGGCGGCGAGGGCCGGCGCCGACTACGGCTGCTGGCGGAGGCGCCGGCGTGGAGCTACGGCGCAACTTTTGAGCGTGCCCTTTCCAACGTGCTGGAGTGACATCGGGCGCATCGTGCATCAACTATGCTTTACTTGAATTATAAATGTGAAGAAAACATAATAATATAAAACTTAAATTTGTTCTTAAAATTAAGTAGCATATCCCATAAAGTATTCACTTTAACCTAGATGTTGTTTTGATTGAAATATAAAAAATCAAACCTATAAACAGTAATAAATAGCATAAGACAATCAACTTGTCAAAGACTTCAACTGAAACGATTTTAGAATAATGAGCTCAACTCCTGAAGCTAAACACTCAACTCAATTGTTATCTTCTCCCATCGCTAAAGCTATTGTAGTTTACTAGTAAACGTGCACATAAGTTGCAACGGAACTTAATACATATATGAATAGGACTACGTGTTATTACTGGACGGAAGTTGTTCTAGCTAACTCGCTCATATCAGTATGGCTCATGAGTTCGGGTCATATACAAAATAAAACAATCAATATTTTCTTGCTTCAACATCCTCTCACATGATTTGAACAGCCACCTTAGGAGCAGAAAGGTGTTCTTGGCCTCCATGGCATGATCTCCCGCTACAATTGCTAGATTTGATTGCTTCCAACCTAGCTTTAGTCGATCATATAAGGTTCCCTGCTGTTTGCGAAGCCATGCAGCATGGTTTCCAGCCCAATTGGGCAAGTGTAGGTTTGACCTTGGCTCATGCACATCTCCAAGCCAGACGGGACGTGCAAGATGTTCGACCCTCTACGCGGCAAGCTACACACCTTGCAAGTCGAAGCATTCAAGAGCGACAGTTATGGGCACATATTTTTCACTCCTCCAAGAACGGTGGGGTCGTCACATCTGCTGGATGGAACAAGGATGAGATCTTCGTCGTAAACCCATTCACGCAGGACATTATGGAGTTGCCCATGTTCAAGACCAACTGATACCGGTTCCATGGCGTCACTCTTTCGTCAACTCCAACATCTCCGGATAGCATTGCGTTCAGCGTCTGCAGTTCTACCAATGGCAAGTGTCTTGGTATGGAGACTTGGCGACATGAAGACGACTTGTGGACGACGATCATGACTTCGACCATGAGGATGACCCATTCCCCATTGCATATAATAACCCCGTCTATTTCCACGTGGAGTTCTATTTACCTTGGGATGAAGGGCAACCTTGGTGCCTAGTGACGACACCGGGAGAGTGCTTGAAAATCCAGAGCCGATCTACACCGAGCCAAGTTTTTTTATGATGACCACGATGGGGCCAAGTTTTGCTACTTGGTTGACTTGGGAGAGGACCTGATATCAGTGTTCATGCGCAACGCGGATGAGCCCCGTGGGTGTTCAAGCTTGACCAGATGAGGATGATGGAATGGGTTGGAGTGAAGGACATTAGTGGTGCAACGCTATTTGTGGATTACTGGGCGTCATTTGGTGGCGTGTCTCCAGGAGCCGATAATGTCAACATGATCTATTTCCAAGTTACTCCGAGGATGGAAAGCACACGGCGGTCTATGATATGGAGACCGAGGTGTATCAAGTTATCAACCAACATTCTATGGGGTTAAAGAACCGTTGAACTGCGTGTGGGTGGTGCCAAATTTATGTACAACTAGATGAGCCGCGGGCTAAAGCAATCTCGTTACTTTCCACTCGAATCAGTATTTATGACATATCGACTAATGGTTGTACGTTGGTCACTGAGGCCACTCTAACAGTTTAGACCTTGTTTGGATACCTATGTATCCATCTTAATCCATGCGTGTTGGAGTGGTTTGGTGTGCATGTTTAGACCTTATTTGGATACCCATGTATCCATCTTCATTCCCTTGCTTTGGAGAGTTAGATGTCGTAGTCCACTACAAGCCTCTAATCCAATACACAAGTGTTGCCTTTGTCCATTGCCAATCAGTCCACATCCTTCGAACTGTCCCATGACTTCAACACAACATCCCAGCAACTCGATTCCACATAGCCTAGCCACCATGTCAAAGATATTTATATCATGCAAGTCACCTCAAGTTGGCTCTTAGAGAGCCTTGGCAGATCATCGATATGCACACATGTCGTGTAGTCACACCACACAAGCCAATGTTGCAAATCACTCTTGTTGGCCAACTTGTCCTGCGCTGGCCTCACTACCATCTTGGAATACACATCTGATAGACAATGCTAGCATGCCATCACCCTCCACCTGCCATGCAGGAGCCTTGCACACCATCGTTGCGCCTATGACCTGGTCTTGGCCGCTTTATGTAACTCCCCAAAACTCGTACCTTGACATGGCTGCCTCGCTCAAGCACAACGCAACTCAACACCACCGAACACCTTTATTGCATGCTCGCCATCGCACTACAGGGCCACCCACAGTTTCCGCGACATTGAGTCTCTTCATGCCACCTCCATCATTGAATGCATGGACACCACCAACACAACCAAAGAACCTCTAACAACGCCATCACACGGTTGCTACTCCACAATATCATGTCCCATAGCCAAATCCACGCCACCATGCACATGCTTCCTTGAGATCGAGACTACGCGCCTCCTGTCCTCGGACATGGCTGCCACACTGTGGTTACTTCTCGTGCGATGCACCACGAGCTACCGTCGTGTGGCCTTCACATCATGCCACATGCCATTTGACCTAGCCGTGTGCTGGATCTGAGTTGTAATTGGGCCACAATTAGTTATAGCTATTGGGTCTTGTACTTTTGATCAAAACCGAATAGGTGAGGGTCTACTGTTGGGGGTGTATTATATGTTAGGGATCCCATTAGTGTTCCCAGGGCCCAATTACATAGCTAAGGGATTTTAAGATAATGTTTAGTGGCCATTTGTTGCCCCCCAGAGGTTCTTTGTAAATACAAGTAAATACAAGCTACACAAGGGAAAATAATAAAAACCTCCCCTCCCACCTCCCCTATAAAGTGGGAGAGGGGGAAGGTGCAGGGGGGTTTTGCCTCACTCATTCGGTTATATCCCTTTCCCTTCATTTCTTCCCTTCTTACGTTAGGACATAGACCAACATATGGTTCTTCTATTTTCTTGCTCGACAATTCCTATAATATGGTTCTTCTCATTTGGTTATATTTCTCTTAATTGTTCTCTATTGTCAGTTTAGTTCATGCTGCTTTCTGCTACCAAACACGTTGATTACGTAAATGACTGTCATCATGATCTAGGGGTTCCTCTTGTACATTTAGCTGAACTACTTCAATACATTTAGGCTATGTACTGGTAGTTCGGCCCCATAGGACTTGCAGCAGATTTTGCGAACTATTTCACATACTACCTAATCAACAATCTCTTTTCTTTGCATCGATTCACTTCATGTCCTAAATTTATTCAGATTTAATGAATAATAATTATAAAAGTAAAGACCGTACCTTTTTAAGATTAGCTTCGC